TCACGGCCCCCGGCGTGCGAAGGATCCGGCTGAAGGAGGGAGGCGTAAGGGGCTCCCTCTTCCTGCCGCCGGGTGAGTGTCCCGGCCGAGACGTTCGCCCTGGGGCCGGCGGGACCCCCCGGCTTCTCTGGCCAGAGCAAGGAAAGTCTCTTTTACAAGAAAAACACGCGAAGGACATCACCCGGGAAATCCATATTCCGTAATAGATCTGCACGCCGCCCTGCAGACAGGTGGCAGGGTTTTTTTCCTTGAAATCTTAACGGAGACACTCCCAAAGGCTTGTCGGGACACGGCTCCCCTTGTGCGTGGCGACACTGCTTGGTCCTTATCGGCTGCAGCGGGCAGGGCAGGCACGGGCAGGTGGCTCTTGTGAGACAGGCAGCAGATAAATGAGAGTAGGGGTTGAGGAGTTTACCTATGTCGCTGCTCTCAGTTTACGATTTTTCAGTAGGTTTGATGTCTGCTCGGGACCACCAGAACCTGTAACATTTAGAAAATCCGATAGGCTTCATCGGGTGAGCCTGTGCTAAATCTCCCGAGGATTTTACCCTGAGTAGGATTGAATCGAAAAGGCTTCTTTTTTTTTTTTTTTTTTTTTTTGTCCCTGTGAAACACATGCCAGTAAGCAGAGCAGTGGAAGAGATTCTAGAGGATATAGGTATTCCAACTTGGTTATTCCAACTTGGTTACATAAGCACCATAGCTAAGTTAATAATTGAGTTACTTCAGCTGTTCTGTGGTATAAAGGCAAAATAGATTTCTGAGCAAGTTCTACCTGTTCTGCTTGTGGGATGGTTGTGCTTTATGAGGTGTGATATTCTGATGGACTGCTAGTCTTGTTGGAAAATGAAACCTTTCACTGATGATGGTGTTTGTACACTTGAGCTGTGATTTAAACTTCTTATATTTCCCCGAGTGTTGTGCTCCACGTTACCTCTAATTTATGACAACTTGGTTCAGCAAGTGCCATATGTACCACCACAGTTATTAGGGATTTAAGTATTTTCAGTGAATGATTTCCAAACCAATAATCTTTTTATCCATTTAGATACGAATCCAAAGTCCATAGAAGAAAACACAACAACAGAGATTGAACTTTGAATTTTAGATCAAATGTTTAGTCAGCATTCTGGATTTTCCATCACGGAGACATGGTTGTTTTGATATATCCTGCCTTAGAGGATGAGCTGGATTTCTGCTGAGCTCAGTGGGAATCCAGAGATCTGCAACATGGAACTGCTTTTTTTCCCTTTAGAAAGTCTGGCATCATAATAGTGTGGAAAAGTCTGGAGTCATTGCTTAAATGATACTGGCATCCTTCTCAATGGAGGATCCAGTTACAGCATTACTACAATACCTTTCTTTGTGCCAGCGATGGAGAAGTCTTATATTGTTAAGATAGGAATCTTAAATGTGAACCGTTCTTAGTAAAAGTGAGATGACATCAGTGGGCTTATGCTGCAATATTAATATGAAAGAGTTTTCTCAATTCAGGCATAGGAGTTACAGGTATGGGGTGTTCTTGTTTGTTTGTTTTTAAGCAATACTAAAGTTGTATAGCCCACTTTATCCTGCTTTTTAGTGAGCTATGCAGAAACTATATACTTGGGCATGTGTAGGCAGTCCAGGATCCTTGTGTAAGTTAAAGGTTGTCTTCATGAGAGAGAAACGCAATCATGCTTGACTGTGTTCTGATCACATGTTCTTGCTAGAAAGCTTCCCAGGTAGAGGTGATAAATGAATGAATACTTTTTTTTTCTAGCCATCTAGGCTGACAGTTATTAACTAAAGGTTACTGTTGATCATGGCATTGTGATAAATTTATCCAGACATTTTCTCTCAAGCAGAATATTGAACTACTATGAAAAATATCAGAACTGAAAGAAAAAGAACCCAAAAGCATGCTTCACTCCTTTTCTGACTTCCTAATGCTTTAAGTTAGGAGGTTTCCATCATATAACATGTCTTGTCCAAAACTTCCTTTTCTCAAGCACCTTGAATTGCCAGAGGTCTTTTTTTTTTTTTTTTTTTTTTTTTATTGCATCTAGTTAATGTCAGAGAGTTAATGCACTCTTGCACAAGCAGGTACTTTTTCTGCTGAGATAGTTGCAGTAAGCTGGATCTGAGTACATCAGTGGTGACATCTGGTGGCCAGTAAAAAAAGAAATTGCCTGCCTGGGGTCTTTATAGTTCCAAGAGGTAGTGTAATATCCTTAGCCTTTTAACCCAAGATCTGTTGGCATGGCATCCAGTAATATTGCAACACGACCTTGGCTGCAAAAGCATGCTCCCTTAAAATTGTAGGTCGATTATTTCTGCAGTTTTGTGGGACTGATTGTACACCTGTATAGGCATGTTTATCTATATATCAGTTACTGCACCCATTTAGCTCTCAGTTTTACCCGGTTTCTTCATATCTGCAGTAGCAGTTCTGCTGCCAAGTGTTACAGTGCTGATGTTGAGATAGAGCTATTGAGTCCAGTTGATTTCATGTAGCAATGAGTGTCTCTTTGCTGTGCTTTGCTCAATGCACCTTATTCCAGAGTTTGCGTAAGTTTTGTAGAATTTACTTTTAGGGCTCAGTGCTCTTGCCTCATTAGCAATGAGCCTGCACTTTGCTAATTAAGATATGACTGCTTTGTGGGAAAAGAGCTGATTTAGAGTATGATTGTTCTGAGAGTGGGATGTTAAGACCATTGAAAAAAACATTTAGACCAGTTTCTTTTTAAAAAACAAGCTTAACTGTTTACATATTTTTACAGGAAGGTAAGGACCTATTCTTAGTTTGAAATAGCTAAAGTGGGCTACAGCACCGGTTCTCTAATCTCTGCTGTGCAAATGGAAAATAAATGAGTATTAATAGAAAATGTCTTAAGCCTTCTATATTTTGATGTTCACTCTTCACCAGAGAGTTTTTAGTGTCCTGTTTGATAACTTGTCCTCTGTACCTCTTCTTTTTAATATAGGGGATGGCCCCTTTCCAGGAGTTATTGACATGTATGGTGATGAAGGAGGCTTGATTGAATTTAGATCCAGTCTCCTGGCTACCCGTGGTTTTGCTGCCCTTTCTCTGCCATATTTTGACTTTGAAGATCTGCCTAAGGTTATGAAAGAATTCAAACTTGAGTATTTTGAGGAGGCAGCTAGATTCCTGCAGCGTCACCCAAAGGTGAGTGTACAAAGGTGAGTGTAATGAGAGATCTCTCAGGACAAGGGAGGATTCGACAGTCATGCCCAGATGGTGGTGGCGGCGATTTTTTTTTTTGTTTGTTTGTTTGGAGTATCAGTTTCTGCTGGGCAGGTTTAGGCCCAATAATGGAAAAAGTCTAGTTCCTGCATAGGCAGTTATGTATATGACTGTGGAGAGTGAATTTCTTCCAGCACAAGCTGTCTGTTAAATAAATTCATGCTGGAAACTAGAAGATTCCTGATCATTAGAACAGTAAAGTGCCAGAATATCCTCCGAACAGGAGCAGTGGTGATGAAGATGGAATTTTTAAAAATGAACGCAGTTATTTTAAGAGAGGATGATACAAAACTGCTCAAGAGTCAGCAAAAGAATGGATTTGATGACTTGGCATGTTGCTTTCAGTTTTACTTCCCAGGCTAGGAAAGGACTAAATACTGCTTATCTAATCCTTCAAGTGTCATTTGTGAGATTACTTTATTGCCTGATGTGTAGGAATAGACTGTGCTTGAATTTCTTGCTACTTGTTTTGGGAAAAAGAGAAAATATTTGCTTCAAAATATGCAACAGGGACTTGGTGAGGTCCAAGTAATGGTACTTCTTGTGCCTGTCTGTGTTATTTTGTGGGGTTTGACAGCTCTTGTTGTCTCTGAAAAAATAAGATACTAAACAGAGGGAGGAGTCCCATGGGGTCCAGGCTGTAGCTTTCCAATAGGTTACAGCAATAATTAACCTAACATTTTCTTTTTTTTTTTTTTTTTTTGTAATAACACAACTCCAAAGGCATTTCATGGCTAATCCCGTTATAATGTATACTTTGTTTGTTCCTTTCTTCCTGTCTTCCCCACCCCCTATCTTATCTGAAGGTGAAAGGACCAGGAATTGGAGTGATTGGGACTGGGAAAGGGGCAGAATTAGCACTCTCCATGATCACCTTTCTGCCAGAAGTGGTGGCTGCTGTCTGTATCTCCGGCTGTAGTTCAAACACAGTTGCAGACCTCCATTATGGTGAGATGACTCTGCCTGGGCTGCGTTTTGATATGAATAAGGTCAGTGTTTCTGACGCTGGTGTATTTGACACTTTTGAAGCTCTGGATGACCCAACAAATCCTGCTAATTCTCCTTGCACAATCCCCATTGAAAAAGCAGAAGGTCACTTTCTCTTAGTGGTAGGGGAAGATGATCGTATGTGGAAGAGCTCCTTATACGCTGAGCTGGCAATCGGGCGTCTACGCCAGCATGGGAAAGAAAACTTTGAACTCCTGAGTTATCCAGGAGCAGGTCACCGAATTGATCCTCCTTCTACTCCATTTTGTCAGGTAGCTATGGATCGTGTTCTGGGAGTGCCTGTTTTGGGGGGTGGAGAGAGCAAAGCACATGCCCATGCACAGGAACACTCCTGGGGAAAGATTCAAGAGTTTCTGCACTTGCATTTGGGATGAACACTTAAGCACCTGCAAGCTGTTGCAGAACTGCAGAGGACTGAGCTTGAGCCACCAAAATGACTGGTGAATTGGAGGGTCTGACTGAGAAAAGCTTTGAAATATGAAATAACCAAATGACTACTTAGCTACAAGTATAAATCCAGAAAGAAAGGGATTTATTTGGACTAGCCTAATTTATTTTAACTAGGAACACAGAGGAGAAGTGAAACAATGATAAGTAGGCTGCATTGTAGTACAAATTTGACAGCCTGAATTGGTCATGATATCAAGAAACAAGTATCTGAAGAGAGTAGTAGGTGCTTTCTTCCTTGCGGTATTTATGACTCAGAGAATTTAAGAGCTAGCCTGCACCCTCAGCAATGACAGACTGGGGGATGATGGCAATCCATGGACGATAAACTTCCACATCAAAATGCTGAATGATTCTGGCCTTTGATCTTAAGATGCCTTAGCCCAGAACTCTCAGTTACAGCCATATACACTTTGGAAATGTTTTCCATTTACCTGAAGCTGGGGATATCTATTTGTAATGAGACTTGTCTACTTTGACCTTAGGTAGTGGTCTTCTGGTGACACAATCTCTTTCTTACCAACAAAAACTACCTGTAGAGTGGGATAATGAAGAGCACTTTTCCTGTCATCCTGAGAGAATGGCAGCACGAGCACTGGCTTGTATTAGGGATGTAACCATCTGTTCCAATAATGTCTTGGATTAGCATTTGACACTCAGGGTATTAAAATTCTGTTGGATAGGTTAAAGCATTGTTAAATGCAGTTATGCTATGTGTAAGTCTTACTTCTCTCTTCATTGCTTGTTTTAAACTAATGACACCTGTCATAGAGTTAGGGATTAATTACTTGTGGAACTCTTTAGTAATGATGTCAACAGATGCTGACAGCTGTTCTTGGGGAGGAAGTAAAGTTGAGAGACAGAAAACCTGGCCAGCAGGTTAAGACTGACTGTAAAAAGCTGTCACCTTATGGCAGTGACTAACTTAGAATCATAATCCCTTAAAAAAAAAAAAAGCAAGAAAAAAAAAAATCGACAAAAACCCCCCCCCCCCACCCCCTCAAAAAAAAAAA